ATGACCGTAACAGTTGCAATATCACCCTAGACTCAAGCCCACATCTCCCCCTTTTTTTATTTTTAAAGGTGAAGTATATAGCATATTGATATCAGTCAAGATACATCAAGGCAAAGTACAGTGACTCGGGGGGGTCACTGTATCAAGAGCCCCCTCCCTCAAGATGGTGAGCTTCCTTAAGAGCAGGTTGTGCCAACTCCATGCCAACCAGTGGGAGTCGAGATTCTTTGCCTCAGCATTGTTGTCCCAACCTCAAGGGTCACCAAGCATAATGGAATGTGCCTGTCTTAGGGTGTCCTGTATGTCAGGATGTTACCCGTCATTGACTACCAGCCCTCGAAGGGTGGGTCCCTTTGTGTGGTTTGGCAGAGGGAGAGGCAGTACATCCAGTATTGGCTTGTTTAAAGGCCTCCTCAGAGGTCAAAAATTTTGTTGAAACTCGTCGGAGGCCAATTATAGGTTGGTCAAGATCTGGAGGTGGGGCAACAGCTAACTGAACAAAATTAACAATGCAGGGTGGCAACAGCTGACTGAACTAGCCTTAACAAAATTAACAATGCAGGGTCCAAACATCAGGAGAAGAGTTAGTATAATAAGGGGAATAGCTAAGGCAGACAGGAGCATGGTACATCTGTAGTTCAGGGAACCATTGGCCAGGGGGTGTAGATTTTTGCATGGAATTTACCTCCTTTTCATTGGCTGCATTAATAATCTGTCAAGTTAGGTTGACGGGTTAGTGGGGGTTAACAAGAGTCGCTAGAGCTTGAGAGTTAACAATACTGATAACATAAATAATAAGGAACATAGACAAAGGTTTTCCTCTAGATTGAGGACTTAGCTAATGTCTCTTTTTGTTAAGAGAGATCTTTGAGGTCTCCCTAGGTTGGTGGCTTTCATTGTCTGCAATATTGGGTTGGTCTCTCGGTGGTTGAGAGGTGTGTTGCTTCCTCCAGGGTCAGGGCTGCCATCTCCGGGGTCGGTGTTTGTGGAGGGAGGTTTTCTGTCACAGGCAATTCTGATGTTCTGGGCTGGGATCCAAATGGGGGCTGGAACATTATCTGGAAAGACACAAGCATAGCCTTGCCCTTGCGTTAACAATAGGTGCCAATAATATGATGGATATATTTGAACTTGCCAAAGGAAGGGAAGTGAGTGATGTCCATCTGCCAGATCTTGTTAGGGCAGGTGCGAGACCAATGACCTTGTCCTCCACAGACCCAACATTTGCCTCTGTCCATCTCGGCCTGTGGCTTGTGAGCAGCCAGTGCCTCAGTGAGAGCCGTGGCATGAGCTCAAGCAATCCCAATATCCTGACAGGTCAGAATCCATTCAGAGACATCTTTGTGTCTAACAGGTCCTATGGCAAGGCAACACTCTGTAGAGCAGCCTTCATATTCAAGATTCTTGAGCAAAGCATCTGCTGCCCCCCGATGGCTGATTTTCCTATTAATGCTTTGTTGGCATCTTTCAACAAAGTCAGAGAAAGGCTCACCTTGTTTTTGCATCAATCTGGTTAACTTGGTATCCTCACGGGCTGCCATACTTTGGAAAGCATGGAGCACACAAAGCTGCACTTGTTCAAAGTAGTGAGGAGGTCCCTGTGCCTGGGCTTGTGGGGTTTCAAAAGTGCCATGTCCCACCAAGGTGTCAAACCCAATGTTTTGAACATTGGAATTTCTATTGTGCTCTGCCTGTTTTCATTCGTCCTGATAAGCAGCCTTCCATGAGAAAATCACCTCCCTGTAGACAGGCATGGGCAATATTCTGCCAGTCACAGGGGGTGTTGGCCACACGGCTGATTGTATCTAATAGCTGACCAAACCAAGGGTAATGAATGCCATCCTCAATGGCTGCCTTATGCAGCTTTTTTAAAGTATCATTAGAATATGGATTCCAGACATTAGGGTTCTGTAGTCCCTGATTGACAGTAACCAGGAAAAACTGTGGAAAATCACCCATTGTATCATAGGGAAGGGCCTAGGTGGGAAGGGCTTCTGGTCCTCCTCTGGAGGGGAGGGGTAGATAGACTGGGGGGACACTTCCTTAGAGCTAGTGCAAGATGGCAGAAAGTAGCCATTGCCCCATAATGGCGGAGCGGAGAACGCCTTAACTTCCCGTTTTTTCATCAGAGCCAATACAAGACGGCAGAGGGTAGCCACTGCCCCGTAATGGCAGGGCAGGGGCAATCTTGACTTCCTGTTTTTCATCAGGGGGCCCTTGGACCCTAATTTCTCATTTTTTTACCTCATTATCAGCAGTCATTGTTTCCACATCAGAGGAGAAATCAGTTAGTTTGGTTTTGACTGGAAATGTCTGGGACAGGCTGTCCCCACTATCCTGTTGCTTTATTTGTTTATCTATGTTTTTTAGTATGAGATTATTCTGCTTAGGGGCATCGGGGGGAATTCCCCGAAGCGAGGCCAGAATGGTAGTCACAATGGGGTAGAACAGCCCAGATAATGGACGCCCCTCCCTGACTTCTCTCTTCCTGGCCATGAGTAGCACACAAGCCCATTGCTCTGGATCCCAACAGCAGGAATCTGTAAACCAAGGAACAAGAGCTAGCACTTCATCTAATACCTTAGTTACTTCTTTCTCTATTACCCTAATTTGCCTACTCCTGAGGAGAGAAAGCAGTGCAGCAGCACGGGGGCCGGCAGCAGCTGGATAACTATTCCCCATACTGGAGGTCACTCACCCTGCAAGACGTACCCAGAAGGACTCAGGAGCCGTTCAGGAAGACAATTGGTGGAGACAGGAACAAAACGCCAAACCAAAGACTGTGAGCCAGAAGAATGAAAGCGGCGAGCACCCATGGAAGAATCACTGGCGAAGAGGGCATTGGGAGCCCCGAGTGTTACAGCTCAGTGTGTTACAGCTCCGTGGGGCAGGAGGCTTCGTGCCCCATGTTGGGCTCTAGCTGCAGTCACTGCCAGCGGCAGCCGCTCCTTCGTTCTCACGGTCGTCGAGGCTGCTCCTCCACTCGCCCTGGGCTGAGGCCACTCTTCTGCTCGCCTGGTGCTGAGGCAGCTCTTTTGCTTGCCCTGTGCTGTCTCCTGTCATTGCTGCTTCTGCCCAGTCCCAGACCCCAGGGCTGGTGAGGAGACTGTCAGCAGAGCCACATTCAGACACAGGAGACCAGGTTCAGTGACACAGGTCTGGTTTATTGCAGGAAGGCACAAGCTTATATAGGGATAGTGGTCCAATCACAACACAGCAAGTAGGATACCTTATTAGCATCCTATTAGCATAGCAGGCTTAATGTCCTATCACAGAATAGAGGGTAGGATGCCTCATTAGCATACTGGGTTTCAGATGACAGAGCCTGGATTCCTGGAAACCACGTGACCCTGACAGTTGCAATATCACCCTAGGCTCAAGCCTGTCTCCCACAGATTTGTGCTTTCATTTTTGATTAAAGAAGCTTCTTTTTGCAGTGGGAGTAGTAAATTCATAGCTGGTCCAAGTGCTGAGAATAAATCACTCTGAGTGTTCAGCTGTGGATTACAATGAAAAGAAATTGTGTGTGGAGAAGAGAGGACAAGGATCAAAAGGAAATAGCTTAATTTCAACTCTTGAAAAGATGAATGAGATAGATAGATAGAGAGAGAGAGAGAGAGAGAGAGAGAGAGAGAGAGAGAGAGAATTCTATACCTAGGGATCAAAGGGCAAGATTCTCTGATAAGATGGGCCCTGACTTCTACTGCATTTCATGCTGGAGATACTGTTTCAATACAAGAATGAGCAAAATTTCTGTTTAGGAGCACAATTCTGAGAGACATCTGAACAGGTGCTCAGCAGTTTGGGCACACTCTTGGCCTTAAAACAGATGCTAAGAGGCTGTTTCTTTTTTTCTATTATTTTTATGTGTATGCATATATTGCCTGCATGTAGGTAAGTGCACCTGTGTTGTGCAATGCCCACGGAGGTCAGAAGAGGCTGTTGAATCCCCTGGGACTGGAATTACAGACAGGTGTTAGCTGCTTTGTGGGTGCTGGGATTTGAACCCAGGTCTTCTGCAAGAACCACCAATATTTTTTTTTAAGACAGGGTCTCCTGGTAGCCCCAGCTGGCCTGGAACTCGCTATGTACACCAGGCTAGTCTTGAACTCACAGAGATCCACTTGCCTCTGCTTCCTGAGTGCTGGGATTAAAGGTATGTGCCACCACACCCCACTCAGGCTGTTTATTTAGGCATAGTTATAACGTGGTTTACACCGAACATCTGTAATTACAGCACTCTGGAGGAGATAGGATCAAAAGTTCAAGGTCATCCTTGGCTACATAAGAGTTTGAGGCCAACATGGGCTAAATGAGACTTTCTCAAAATACAAAAATTTTCATTTAAAAAAAAATTATTTTGTGTATGAGTGTATTGTCTGTTTAAGTGCACCCATGTCATGCAATGCCTGTGGAAGTCAGAAGAGGGCATCAGATTCCCTTAGAACTGCAACTACAGTTGTTAGCCACCATGTATGTGCTGGGAATCCAGCCCTGGTCCTCTGCAAGAGCAGTCAGAGCTCTTAACCACTGTTCCTAAATACTTTCTTAAAATGTCCATAAATCCATAAATCCATTTTAGATTATGGTAGCAAAGCTAGCCACTATTCAGTAACTTTTTTTTTTTTTTTTTTGACAGGATCTCCCTAGCCCCAGCCAACCTGGAACTATGTAGACCAGGTATAGACCAGGTTGGCCTTGATCTCAGAGATCAACCTGCCTCTCACTCTGCCTCTGGCTAGTAACACCTTTTAAGCACCACGCCCTTCACAAATATTGATTTTAATCCTCACTGGACAGATATTTCTATTTTATAAATAAGGAAATGGAGATTATTAAGTATTGATGTTTTCTCATTGGTAAGTTGTAGAGTCAGAATTCAATTCCAAGCTTGTGTGGTTGAAAAGCTCATATTCATTCCCCAGATACTATGCCTATGTTGGGATCATTTGATTGTGTATGTGTATGTGTGTTCAGCTTTAGCTTGCTAGATTATCTTCTAGAATTAAAGGCAAAGGAGAGAAGGTAAATCAGTAGTAGCCACTCCAGCTATGAGGCAGATACCACTCATCATTTGTACCAAATAAAAGGCAACCGCTATTAATTTTTGTAAATATTTTTATTCATGTATGTGTATCCCTGCTTGAGTTTATGTGCATGCAGGTACTAGAGGAGGCCACAGGGTGTTGGATCCCCTGGAACTGAAGTTACAGGCAGTTGTGAGCTGCCTGAGGGCTGGGAATCAAATTCACATCCTCTGTAAGAGCAAGCAGGCAATTATCATAACCGCTGAACCATGTCTCCAGACCCCACTCTCCTTTTAATTTTACATTTTATTTATTCCTGGACAATTTCAGACATGTATGTAATGTATTTTGGTCATATTCACCCCATTCTTCTCGTTTCTCTCCCACTCCCTCTGGAATCCTTCTTCCTAACATGTCTCCTACTTTCATGTCCTCCCCCTGATGGTAACTGTGTTCATTATTTTTCTGTTGCTGTGACCAAGGCAACTTACAAAAGGAAGGTTTGTTTTAGCTTATGGCTCCAGAGGGGGAATCCATAATAGTGGGGGATATATTTGGGGGATACATGGCAGGCATCCAGGCCACTGGATCAGGAAACAGAGATCACATCTTCAACCACAAACACAAGCAGAGGGTGTATTTATAATGAAAGTGGGTCAAGGCTATGAACTCTCAAAGCCCACCCCCAGTGATATGCTTCCTCCAGCAAGGCTGCACCTCATAAAGGTTCCATGACCAGCCCAAACAGTGCCACCAAGCAGGGATCAAGTGTTCAAATACTTGTGCCTGTTGGGGCTATTTCTCATTCAAACCACCACAGTAACCCATGTTTAATTAGATCATGGACAACTTACCAGTGGCTATACTGCTGAAGAAAAATGACCCCCGACCCTCAGGAGCCATTAATTGCCGATATCTCCCCAGCTACCTATGGGGTCCCATGTGCCCTCCTCCATCCATACCAGAATGGCAACCACTGGCATGCTGAATAGATTTTAAAAATTTGGATACAATTATAGTTCATCCTGAAAATATTTGGCATTGTGTTAGTTGTCACTGTGACAAAATACCTAAAAACTCGGGAGTAAAAATTTATTGTAGCTCATGGTTTCAGTTTATGGTAATTTGGCTCATAGGAAACATGAGATTAAGGAAAGTTGCTCACCCAGTGGTGAACAGGAAGCAGAGATGGGGGGGTGGAGAGGAGGCAAAAAATAGGGAAAAAGAAGCCAAGGTAGCCTCCCCAAATGACGTATTCCCTTCAAATAGGTCCTATCTTCTTAGTTTCTATCATCTCCCTATCAAGTTATAAACCCACTTCTACCACTCAGCTTATCAAATTATGAACCCATTAATGGATTAGGAAACTGATGAGGTTAAAATAAGTACTCACAGTCCAATCACTTCTCAAAAGTTCCTATGTCTGAAGATTGCTGCATTGGGGACCAAACCTTCAATACATGAGCCTTTGAGGGACATTTGATAATCAGAGTATAGCAATCAAATAACCTTAATTTTAGTTAAAATCATCCCTGACATGATGTCCCTAAAAGCCTTTTAATATCTATAAAGGTCCTTGTCTATAGTGTTAAACAGTATTTACTAGGGTTACTTTTTTCAGTGTATGGCTATCAAAGAAAATCAACTTTGGTGCATTCCTTGTTTTATAATATGGTTCTAATGTGTAATTTATTATTAGGCCTCTGTCTGTAAGCATTTCCAGATAGTCTAATATTTACTCAGTATTTCTTCATAGTAGATATTGTATTAGATGCTTTCATGTATTGGGTTTGATGTTCCTTCCAGCAATTCTATCCAGTAGTATCATTTTTTTTTTTTTTTTAACTCTTTTTCTTTGAGACGGGTTCTCATGTATCCCAGGCTGGCTCCAAACTCATTATGTAGCTGAGGATGATTTTGAACATCTATCTCATTTTCCTGCTTTTACCTCCCAAGTGCTGGGATACAGGGGTATACCGTATCTAGTTTAATACAGTGCTGGGGATCAAACCCAGGGTTTCATGCAGGACAGGCAGCCACTCTACCAACTGAGTCACATCCTTAGCCACAGTAGTAACATCTTTATTCCTAATTTATAGATGGTATGTATAAAAGTTAGTTTGTTCATGTGAGTAGCTGTGAGTGCCTAAGCTAGGTGAGTCTCATAGCCAGGAATTCTGATTCAAGTTTGGGTTCTAGAGAGTACTGAAGCTCAGTATACAGGAACTTGGAACTTTTTTTCTGCTTGAGTAGACATAGATTTTGGCCTAATAAGGAGTACTTAAAGCTGATGACAACTACAACTCAAATACATATAAAAATAACATTTAACTTAGGCTGTATGACATATTGATTTAGTGAAATTTAAAAACACAAAAACAAAATCTATGAGACTCCTTTCAGCTTGAAATTTACATTCTTGGTTAAGTCAGGAGGCTGCCTTAAGCTTAACACAGAGAAGCAAAACAGTTCCAATTCCATACTGTAGCAGAGAACAGACCTAAGAAGAAATGAGTCTATGGTAGGCACTATGGTCAACTGATATTTCATGTGAGGTGCCAGTGCATGCCTCAGAACTTGGCTCCAAGCCTAGCTTCTTTGCTATTGAGACAATCCTCAGTATTTTCTGTTGTAAGTCTAAACAAATTCCAGTGCTCACAGTAATAAAATGGAAGTCACTCTGCTGTAGTCCTTTGAGCACTGGCAGCATTTTCCAAAATTGTCCTTTTCCACTCTTCATAATCTTGTGTCCAATCTTCATCTTTTTGTGGTTTATGTTGGGTCTCTACCACCCTCTCTATTTCTATGAGAGAAAGTTAGCAAAAGTAATTTCAAACTCATGTTTACAAATGACATAAAGAAGTATATTGTGAAATTATCTACTTCAATTAAGGTAATAGAGAATAAGATAGAAGAAATATAAAAATTGCAGCTATGACTTTTCTCTTTTGCATATGCTAAAAGAATGCATGTGCTAAGCATTCCAAGACATCTAATAATAGTTAAATAGTATCTCAGTGAACTCCACATCTACCTTATGAAGTGAGTCTTAATATTAATCACATTTTATAGATTAAGAAATTAAGGGACTGGAGAGATGGCTCAGCAGCTAAGAGCACTAACTGCTCTCGCAGAGGACCCGGGTTCAAATCCCAGCACTCACATGGTGGATAACAACTGTCTGTAACTTCAGTTCCAGGGAATCCAATGCCTTCTCTGACCCGCACAGGCATTGGGAATTGCTTGACACGGGTGCACTCACATGCAAATTGTGTAGCTTTTTCACAGTGGTGGTCAAGAAAATAAAAAGAGGCCATTAATGTGAGATTGTCTTTGTAGTTGGAGTTCTTATTTCTTATGTAAGCAAACTGGAACTTAATTTAGAAATATATTTGTAGCAAAAGCAAAACAACAAAAACGAGACAATTGCAAACAGTCATCTAATTGGTCATACTAGTAGGGACCTCCCATTAGACCATGCTTAAATATGGCAAATGAATAGCTTTGCCCATCTGCTCTGCTTCTAAGTCAAGTCTATAAGGTATGATTTCTTTAAACCTATTTTGGGTTTGATGCTGCTCAATTCATGAGTCAGTTTGTGCTCAAACTGTTTATTTGTCTAAAGATTATAACAGTAGCAAAACAGGATTTGAACTCAGGCAGTTTAGCTTCAGACAGCACACATTTAAAAAAAATTTTTTTTAAGAATATGTATTTTTCCTTTAATCACCTCAGATACATTCTTAGATTTATTCATTTATACTTTATGTCTATGAGTGTTTTGCTTGCATGTAACTAAGTGCACCACATGGCTACAGTGTCTTTGGAGGTCAGAAGAGGGTGTTAGATCCCTTGGAACTGGAGTCACATGTGCTTGTGAGTCACCTGATAAGGGTGCTGGGAACAAACCCAGGTCCTCTCCAAGAGTAGTGAGTGTTCTCAAATGCTGAGCCATCTCTCTAGCCCTCAGTAACACCTCTGTTCTACTAATTATTGCTTAAAGGGTTGTTTTTGTTGTTTTAAGGCAGGATATTGCTATGTAGCCCATGCTGGCCTGGAACTCACTATGTAGACCAAGCTGGCCTTGAACTTGCAGCAACCCTCTTGGGTCTACCTTCCAAATGCTGGGATTACAGGTGTGCACAACCACGCCTGGCTTGGAAAATGGGTCTTATCAAGTAATTAGTGGTCAGGATTTTCTCTAGGGCACACATCATAAGCTTGTTCACTGAAGTAATCATACTGCATGAATTTCAGTATCAGTACAGTGTGTTGGTGAGGCCCTACCATTTGCTGATGGTTCATCCACTGCTTTCTTTTTCTTCAGTATTGGACTAGCTAAATCTCCAGACTCTCCTTTCAGGAAAGAAAAAAGTGATAAAAGTTAATTTTTCTATTTTCAATTTTAGTATTTGGGCATACAGGTCTCTAGTTTTATCACAAAAATTAAGTATCCTGGAGGACTAATCTATGGAAGGAAAAGGCAAATAATCAATCTCTCTCTCTCTCTCATTTTTTGTCTTTTTGAGACAGGGTCTTTCTGCAGCCCAGGCTGGCCTGGAACTCAGTATGTAGAACAGGCTGCCCTTGATCTCAGAGATTTGCCTGCCTCTGCCTTTTGAGTGCTGGGTGTGTACCATCTAGCCTGGCAACTCTTTTCTTGTTACCTCCCGTCAGGCTTGAAAACCACTTCTATCTTAACTACCCTAATACAGCAGTTGGCATTTAACCTTGGGCTTTTCTCTTTCTTTTAGAGATAGGCTCTCAAAAACAATATAGCATTGGCTGGCCTCAAACTCAGAGATCTGCCTGCCTCTGCATCTTGAGTGCCAGGATTAAACCACAATGCACAATGCCTAGCTAATACTGGAGTTTCTTAAAGAATCTGTTTTCTAGACATTCTGTGGAATCTTTTTTTTTAGGTTACTAAATTACTTGTAGAAACACCAGTTTTCTCACTAAAAATGTATCTGGCCTACACTAAATAATAAATCAGCATTTTTCAATGTATCAGCAAGTCCACATTTTCAAATGAGATGTTCTCAAACTACAGAATACTCACTGTTGATATGCTGCCCAATCTTCTCTAACTGCTTACACAGTCGATCGAGTATAGCTTTTTTCACTCCAGATGTAGTTATCATTTTGGTTTTATCAACTTTTAGCTTTAGAATTCTACAAAAGAATCCACAAGTTGCTTTACAAGTAGTTTTCTTGTCAAACCAATCAGATTATAAACTTACTACTTTTTTGCCCATGTTTTATTAAGATTCTCCAACTGCTTTTTACTTGATCCTAAATGTCACTAGCTAGAATCATGCAAATTTATTTATTTATTTATTTATTTGTCTTTTTAAAGCAAGGTCTCCCAGCAGTCCTGGAACTCACTATGTAGACCAGGCTGGCCTTGAACTCACAGAGATCTGCCTGCCTCTGCCTCCCAAGTGCTGGGACTACAGGTGTGCATCACCACGCCCGGCTCGCAAATTTACTTTTTAAAGCTCTTTACTTATTAGATTGAGAGCTAAAATGCATCTGTTCTGCAATAAACAGTGCAATAAAGACATCTATAAAGCTTCATGCCTTTCAGATGTTATTTGCAGAATGAGAATCTTTAATTGTTCAACTCACTTTTATGATGAATGCTTTTATTTATACAACAGCATCCTATCTCTTTGCACCATTCCCAAAGCCCAAATCCTGCTCATATACCTCTGTAACAATAAATAATAATAAGCCACCACAAAACGAAGTTCTTATTCAGGATAATAGATCTGTTTAGACCTTTCTTGATTAGTGTAATGTAGTTTCAGAAATGGACTTGGACTATTTTCAGTTTTCTGCAGTATCAGCCATATTCCCTCGCTACACACACACACCTAACCAATATTAAAGGGACGTTTCTATGAAAGACAAGCACTCCTAAGTATGTTGCTAATAGAGTCAAATACAGGAAAATTAGTGGCTAGAGTGAGAAATCTATTTTTTTATTACTATTTATTTTTATTTTGTGTGTATGAGTGTATTGCCTGCATGTCTTAAGTGCACCCATATCATGCAATGCCTGCGAAGGTCAGGAGAGGATGTCGGATCCCCTGAAACTGGAGTTGGGGATGGTTGCTAGCTGCTGTATGGGTGCTGGGATTCAAACCCAGGTCCTCTGCAAGAGCAGAGCCTTCTCTCCAGCCCTGAGAAATCTATTTTTTAATAGTCTACTACATTTTTTCCTAGAAAGTTTTCTGGCAAGGTGAAAAAATACAAATTCAAAGATATCAAAAATTATTAGTATTTATGGTAATATTTCAGTTTATACATAGATAACTCACATTTTAATGATTCAGATGTAAGAATTTATCCAAGCAATATTTTATAAATCAATGAAGAACAGTTGCAGGTAGTATTTTGCATTTATTATTTATTTATTTTTGAGACAGGGTCTCCCTGTAGCCCAAGCTGGCCTGGAATTTGTTATGTAGACCAGGCTGGCCTTGAACTCATAGAAATCCACCTGCCTCTGCTGGGATCAAAGCTGTGCGCCACCACACCTGGCTTTGCTTATTTATTTAATGTATATTGAATGCTTTCCCCCACCCTCCAATGTAAGTGTACCCATGTGCACCATGCCCATGGAGGCCAGAAGAGGGTGTCAGATCTCCGGGAACTGGAGTTACAGATGGTTGTAGCTGTCATGTGGGTACTGGAAACTGAACCTGGGTCCTCTGCAAGAGCAGTCAGTGCTCTTAACCATTGAGCCATCTCTCCAGCCCCCAGGTAGCACTTAAAAACAAATGACCATTGTTCTGACAGATTTCATCACTTACAAAAAAGCAGACTCTAACATTAGAATACCTAGTTTACATACACATTGCACTTGGCAAATGAACTTCTTGAAACACTATTTGTAAGTTGTCAGCTATATTATGGGTTAAATGAGAATTTAATAACTTGGTCACAAATCCTAATGCTCGAAGTTGAAATCAGTTAAATTATAGAATATTTTTAAATACTTTATTTATTATTTTTATGTATATATTGTCTGCATGTATATACAATGCCATAGATGTCAGAAGAAAGCATCAAACTCCCCTGGAACTGTAGTTATGGATGGTTGTTAGCTGCCATGTGGGTACTGGGAATTGAATCCCGGTCCTCTGCAAGAGCAGTCTGTGCTCTTAACCAGTGAGCTCTCTCTAGTCCCAGAAATGTTTTGTTTTCAAGAATGAAAACTCACTTATAAATTGGCAACATTTCTGAATAATAAAAGAACATTTAGACTAGTTGGGTGTACTGGCACACTAGCACATGCAAGCCTGTAATTTGCAGAGGCAGGAGGATCATCAGGAATTTAAGGCCAGTTTAGGTCACACAGTGACTTTTAGGTAAGCAAGATCCTGTCACAAACCAACCCCCCCTCCCCCGACTTACTTGCATGCTGAAAGTAGTGCAGCCGTGGTGAAAAGTGGCCTGGATAAGTCAAGATCTGCTTGCTGGGTCTGGGGAAGACTGGACTCATAGCTAGGAGATAGCAGTGTTTGTGGAATTACTGGTCAGAAAACAGTATTTTTAAAAAATATTTATTATGTTTATTTTTTGTGTATGAGAATATTGCCTGCATGTGTGTAAGTGCACCTGTGTTGTGCAATGCTCACGGAGGTTAGAGGAGGGCGTCAGATTTCTCAGGAACTGGAGTTATACATGGTTGTTAGCTGCCATGTGACTGCTGGGAATTGAACCTGGGTCCTCTGCAAGAGCAGTCAGTGTTCTTAACCACTGAGCCATCTCTCCAGGCCTGAATTTTTTTTTAAGACAGGTCTCACTATATAGCCCAAAATGGGGAGGCAGAGGCAAGTGGATCTCTGTTAACTTTGAGACCAGCCTGGTCTACATAGCAAGTTTCAGGCCAATTAGGGCTACACAAGGAGAATTTGTCTCAAAAAAACCCAATCAATCAACGAACCAATCAACCAAAATTCATGTGTGTTTGCCTACATGTATGTGTACTACCTGTGTACCTGGTGTCCATAGAGGCCAGAAGAGGGTGTTGGATCTCTTAGAACTGGAATTGCAGAGTTATGAACTGCTATGTGGGTACTGAAAACTGAACTTGGTCCTCTGCAATAGTAAGTACTCTTAACCTCTGAGTCATCTCTCCAGATCGCAGAAATATGTTTTTAAAATGTACGACATAGGGGGCTGGAGAGATGGCTCAGTGGTTAAGAGCATTGGCTGCTCTTGAAGAAGACCTGGGTTCGATTCCCAGCACCCACATGGCAGCTAACAACCGTCCCTAACTCCAGTTCTGGACGAATCCAATGCCTTTTGACCTCTGAAGGCACTGCATTACATAAATGCAGGCAATACACTCATACACATTAAAAAAAAAAATGTACGACATAATCATGTTGTCACTTTTAGCATCTTGGTATTTTTTTAAGACCGAAATTGTTTAATCTTTAGTCACACACACACAAAGACAAAACTAACCAGAACAGAACACTGGGTAATTTTGTTGCATCCATCAGTGTAAATTTTCAATTAAGGTTCTATATATCCATACCTTTGCAGCATCTTTGAAGCCAAGTTCACTGCTTCTGTACAGCTGAATTGTACAGCTAGGTCTCTTATTCCGATATTTGAATTCAGCCCTAGCAAACACTCAAAAGATTTAAGACAGCTCTGATACATCTTCTTGTTCAAACCAGAAAGTTTAATTAAATAAGCCTTTGAAAGGAAAAACACAGAAATTGTTAAATTCAATATATTAGTACCCTTAAATACTTAGTAAATAGTAACTATAGACTAATAATTTAATTAAAAAAAGCAATAATCACATCAAGAAGATCGCTGTTATAAAAGAACTCAGACAGAAAGGCTCAAAAGTAAATGCTCCAATATGTTTAAGCTGTGCAAAATAGCCAAGACATATATGGTTACTTATTTTTCAACAATGGTGCAAATTACTGGAAAAAAGAATAAAGGAAGCAGTGGGAGAAGAATGAAGAAGGTGCATGTGGGGGAGAGCAGGAAACTAAGGAAACAGAATCCACCACTGTGGGAAACCAACTGTCTGGGGAGTCAAGGAGAGCTTCATAAAGGATGTAACAGTAAGGCAGTGTCATGCAAGATGAAAAGGAACTTGGCAGAAAAGAATTCCAGAAAAGTGCTGCATTTACAATGCTACAAGTCATTAAGTATCACTGCTTGTGGTCAGGGTAAGAGACTGGAGAATTTGATAGCCACAGAAAGCAAACACAGCTTTAATGGATGCACCCATTATGATACAAGTATTGTGTTAAGTGTATTACATATGTGTATTGCTTAATCATAATAACCAGTTAAGATGAACATTTTTATCCCTATTTTATGAAGAAACGGATAGCTCATAGAGCCAGCAAATAGTATTGACATTTGGTCTCAACATGTGTTTCTTCCTGACTCCAAAGCTGCTTTTCTAACCACTATGATACTGGGGTAAAAAATGCCTAGGTTTTTAAGTATGTGCTTTAGGAGCATGGACGTTGGTTTCTAAGAAAGACACAGACAGGGAAACTAGATAATAAAGACTACAGAACACATTGCTAAACCAACAAAATTATTCCAAAGGTTATCTATATAACATATGAGAAACACCAGGAAAATTCTAAAACATTAAGGATTTTGACCAGGGTCTAGTTCACCTATGATGGTTAATCTCAACTGTCTAACTTGATGAGATCTAGAATCACCTTGGAGAGGGGCCTCTGTACCTGCCTGAATGTTAGGTTAACTGAGGTGGGAACACCTGCCCACTGTGAGTGTTACCATAAACTGGGCTGAGATCCTGCGTATAAAAAGGAGTAAGCCGAGCACAAACATTCACTGCTTTCTGCTTCCTGCTTGTGGATGTGATGGGACCAGCCTCTTCAAACTGTCTTGATTTCTGTGCCACAATGGGCTGTATCCTTGAACTGTGAGCTGAAATAAACCTTCTCTCTTCAATTGCTTCTGCCAAGGTATTTTATCACAACAGGAAAAGAAACTAAGATACCAACCAGAAGATTAAAACACAATAGTTAAGCTTCAGTATTGGGCTTATTCAGACATTCAACGGAACCTTACCCTATCCAAGGGGCACGTCATACAGGAAGCTGCAAGGTCCAGGCATATGATCGCATTGCTGGTTTCTGTTGTATGTGCAGACAAACCAAAGCACTTCACTTGGGACAGTCGCAAGTACTCCTCTGCTTTCCTGGTTATTAAAGGCAGTATGTTCACTAAAATTGTTTCAAGTTTGCCCAACTCTTTGGCAAAGAATGAACACAGCCTGGTGGCCTTCATATTGAACCTGACTACAGTCCAAATTCATTTGGGTCTGGGAATGAAAAGCAGATCCTTTGGAGAGGGGAAGTTCGCAAGATAGGACCAAAATGACTCCAGAGTTTACAGTGCTCAAGTGCTTTTAAAAAGTAAATTCACCCCCCCGCCCCCCCAAAAAACCCTTTCCTCCTACCATTACTTGAACAATTAAAGGCAGGCAGATTAGGTCAGATTAGATAGTCTTTCCTTCTCTTCCTTTAAATGGGCGTTTCTCAATTTTGGGGGATTGTAAAAACAGATTCTGGGTTTCATCCCCAGTCAGTAGGCCTGGGGTGGGCGGGTGCACGAATTTTTATTCCTGTTAAGTGTCAAGCTGACATCCTTGCCGCAGATTCAGGACCACACTTCGAGAACAGCTGTTTTAACGATTACGGAGTGCTATGTACAAATTTTAAGAGCTCTTTTCCTTCCCTTTCCTCACCTGACTGCTGAGGTAGGCTTGGCTGCAGTGGCTTCATTTCCAACCACAAGCTCTCGCAAAGATCCTCCCACTTTTAACGGCCCTCTTCGGCGGCACGCACGGCCACACTTACCTCAGCACCTCCGGCTCTGCAAGGCCCAGGCGTGGAGCCAGGTTGCGAATCATCTCAGACGCCATAATCGGAAAAAACGCGCGCGGAAGCGCAGCGGAGCGTGGAGCGCCAGGATCCGCCCCTAGCGCGTCCAGATTGGCTGGGACAAGACTTGTGACTGTCTCACACACCAATCCTGACCTTCTTTCTGCGCATGTGCACCACGGGTCGAGCGCGGCGGCTGGTTCTCAGGCCCTCAACCATAGACGCCTCCTTTCCTTCCGGTGGTTCACCAAAGCACAGAACCCACTCCTGCCCCGCCCCGCCCCGCCCACTTCAACACACTGCGGTCTGCCCGACGTAAGCGCCCCAAAGCACGCGTGACTTGAAACGGGCCAATCGAGCTACCGTTAGCGGCCCAAGGGCGGAACTATAGAGGGCGGAGCTCGGGAGGATAGAGTCACCTGACTGCGGGTGGCTCCGGCGGAGTCAGTGCTGCTGTCTGCGGGATCCCGAGTAGTCATGGTGAGTGAGTGGAGGCCGTGGGTCCGGCCGACCCTCCCGCAGTCCCGGCTTCCTTCCAGAGGCCTGGAGCTCTGCTGGCAGAGTAGGGGTTCTTGGCGCGCTCGGGCTGGTGCTAACCGGGCTGGACCGGCAGGGGAAGGCCGCGAGTAGGCTGGCCTGGGACGGGGTGGGCGGCGGCTTCAGGCTTTGGCCGGTACTGTGAGGCGGGCAGCCATCCTGAGGAAGAGCTCGGTCTTGCCGCTGGGTTGGGGCCACCTCGGAGCCCGAGGGCTGAGGTCCTGGTGAGCTCTTCTCTGGTTCTGCAGCCGGGACCACCCCGCCATCCCCCGAGGGTGCACGGCCACCTTTGGGCTCCGCGGGCCGCACGCCTTGTTTCAGCTAGACGAATCAAGAGGATCCGCGGCCCCTCCACCCGGCCTCTGAGTCCGTTAATCCGCAGTGGTTCCAGTGCGTTCTAGGGACCTGTGTACGTGAAGTGAATGTCCCGAAGACTCATGCTTTCTCCCCCTAAACCTGACAGCCAGAAAGGATATCGTGTTTTCCCTTTCGCGTTCGTTCCCCTGGGCCTTGTTGGAAACTGGATTCTCCTTATGGCTCTCTGTGATGGTAGCAGATTGGATGTGACATTGGCCTCATAAACACGGACTTCCTCAAATGGAAACCCTGTCGGTTTCCCACAGGGCACGTCGTTTGCATCTTACTGCCATTGAATGTAATCTGCTCTGAATAATGTTTTTGGATGTTGGCGTGCGTGTGGCAGATTTACTTATTCATTATCCATTCATCGGAGACAGAATTCTGTAACCCTGGACACAGTTTGACTATAAGTGGTTAATGGGTAAAACCAAGATTAAATCTGATTTTTGGAGTGGAGGTTTGAGATGGTCTTGTTAGGCTCTGGCCAGTCTAGCACTCATGGCAGTCTTGTCCCAGCTTTTGCTGAGTGTTGAGATTTTGCCTTATATATTGCCCTACAAGGTGATTTTTTTTTTCCCTCAGAATTTTTGTAGTCGAGGATTCATACGTTTTGTGATTGAAAGCATTTGAGGATACACAATACTTCATTTATGTGCTGAATGAACCAGATCAGTCATGTCATCATTTTTATGACGGGCAGGTATTCAGCCTTTGAGTCTCACTTTTGGGTCAGCAAACAAGTGTTGATCTTACTGGCCCTTGAATACTAGAGATCTAGAGTCCAGTTCAATTAAGCTAAGCATCTAGTGTGCACTCAGTGTCATGGATTTTGCTGAATTGTGGGTTGTTAACTGTTCAGTGGATGTAGTGTCCACTGTGAAAGTTGAAAATGTTTTGGAGATGGAAAGTGGTAATTACTGTACACGTGAGTGTGGTAAATCTTACTGTTATAAAATTGTCCTGGGGCTGGCGTAGGCTCATCTTTGAGTGCCTACTTCTCTTCCAAGAGACCCAAATTCAAGTCCTCAACACCCTCTAGTAGCTCACAACCAACTGTAACTCTAGCTCCAGGGAGTCCAGTGCCCTCTTCCTGTCTCCATGGCCACCTGCACTCACTTGTACATACCCACACACAGCGACACATAAACACACAATCTAAAATTTAATTTTAAAAATTAATAAAAATAAATCTCAAGAAGTCCTATATCACTACCTGCTTCTAAGCTGACCTTTTGAACTTAATGAAATCCGCTGATTTATTGTAAAATCTATTGCATTTAGATGAAAAAGCCCCAAAAATTGAAAGTTAGATTGGGTTCACTAAAGTACTCAGAGGACTAGCAATGCATAATAAATTTTATGAATTAGGCCTGGGGATATAGCTCAGTTGGTAGAGTGCCTGCCTAGCATGCATGAAGCCCTTTGGTTCCATCCACGGTACCATGTAACACGGCATAGTGGCATGTGTTTGTAATCCCAGCACTAATAGTAAAGTGGAGGCAGGAAGTTCAAGATCATCCTCAGCAACAAAATGAGTTTAAGGCTAGTCTGGGCTACATCAGACCCTGTCTCAAATTTTTTGTTCAGTAATAATTTTTTTTAAGGTTGAAAGACACCTATTTTTTTCCCCTGGAACTGGAGTTATAGATGGTTGTTAGCCACCATGTGGGTGTTAGAAATCTACAAGAGCAGCCAGTGCTCTTAACCATTTAGCCATCTCCAACCTGACAGTCATTAATTACCTTGTGATATATGCTGTGGTAGTAATGTGTTGATACAACATGAAAGAGTGATTAATTTTACTTAACAGAGAGTGAATTCATTTTGCAAGCAGATTTTTTTCTTACCACAATTATAATTTCCTAAGACGGGTCAGTGTTCTTAAATTCATTCCTTGATGTAAAAATATACTAAAACGTAGGTGAAACCTAACAGTTGAGAAGGGAAGCGTGCTTCTTAAAAGATTTTGGTAGACTTATTACCAAGAATTAGCTTGGCCGTATAGCTATGTTCTAGTTGGATTCAGAGCATATTAACAGAATACAGCCATAAACTACCATCTTGAATTTCTTTGAGGCCAAAACTGTTGAGTCACTTTGATAGTTGTCAAAAAATGACATATCAGTTAGAGATACAGAACTGGAATGAACCTTATGTGAAAATCTTAGAAAAGTAATATGGCTAAAACTATAGAAATAAAAATATTTGCTTGGAGAAAGTGCTTATGAGCCATTAATGAGAGTATTTAAAAATGTTTCTTTTAGCCTACAACACAGCAGTCACCTCAGGATGAGCAGGAAAAACTCTTGGATGAAGCCATACAAGCTGTAAAGGTTCAGTCATTCCAGATGAAAAGATGCCTGGTAAGAATGAAAATATGAGAGACACAATTGTGTACTGTAGATTCCTAAGAAAGCATCTCTAGTTCTAAAGTTATGTTTTTCACTAACCACCAGCATCTGTCTCAAATTCACCTGTGTTTATTTAGCACTATGTAAAAGACTTTCAAACAGTGAGCCTTGCTTTGTTATGTATGTATGCCTAGAGTCTATAAACTCATGAGAACAAAAGATCCTGACTTTTAGTTACATACTGCCACACTAACCTAAATATCTAAGCCTCTTCAGTTTTATACTTCAGATCTGAGGACTTAACATGTAATTTCTATTCAATAAATACTTACTGAATGAAGTACTGAATGTATTTAAATACTTCAGCTATGTTTTTTCACCTGAGTGTCTTGAGAATGTTTAAATAGATACTTTTATTGTAGAACCTAGCTTAAACAACTACACTTATACCTGGGAGTGGTACTATTCACTTCTGGAGGTAAAGATGGGGGAATCATGAGCTTGAAGCCAGCCTGGGTGGCGTAGTGAGACCTTCTCTTAAAACATGAAAACAAAAATTATACTTGTACCTATTTATATATTTTCATATTCTAAAGATAGGAAATAATATGCATAGATACCATATATCCCATGTATTAAAGTTTAAATAAATAAGCAGATACTTTAAGCTATAAGTTGCTGGGGTGATGATGATACTTTACAAAGTGTCTTACATTTTGTGTGTGTGTGGGGGGTGTATGTGTCTGTGCATATAGAAGCCAGAGGTTGATGTCTAGTGTCAGTTACTGTTCATCTTTTTCTTTCTCCTTTTTCTTATTCACTGATGATTTCATACATGTGTATAGAGAACATAATTTTGGTTGTTTTCATGCCCCATTATGCTTTCTTATCCCTCCCCCCATAAATATGTAAATGTAATTAAAATAGAAAATCTTTTAGAATTTGTACTTCTAATAAAATGGCAGGATACAAATTATCACACAAAAATCATTAGTCTTCTGTATATCAACAATAGACAAACTGAGAAAGAAATCAGGGAAACAACCCCATTCACAATAATGAAACAAAATAAAAACAAAAACAACAACTACCACAACAAAAAACAATCCAGACTTTGTATAAACGTAATCAAGAATGTGAACAACCTTTTTAATGATATTTAAGATGTTGAAAAAAGAATTTGAAGAGGACAACTGATGATGGAAAGCACTCCCATGCTCATGAATTAGAAGAATAAATATGAAAATGACTGTCTTACTGAAACCAATCTACAGATTTAATGCAAGCCCAACCAAAATTCCAGTGATATTCTTCACAGAAATATGAGAAATCTTAAAATTCAAATGGAAGCACAAGAGACCTGATAACCAAAGCAATCTTGAGCAAAAAGAATGCTGTTGAAAGTGTCATTGTACATGATTTTAAGTTACACTACATAATTGTAGTAAGAAATATGGTACTGGCACAAAAAGGGTAAGATTAGTGGAATAGAATAGAGCATCCACCTATGATGCCATGCAACTACAGCTACTTGAGTTTTCATAAAAATACCAAAGAATACACACTGGAGAAAAGACATCGTCAACAGATGTTGCTGGGGAAACTGGACATCAATGTGTAGAAGAATGGAACTAAATCCTTGTCTCTCAATCTGCACAAAACTCAACTCCAGATGGATGAAGAACCCCGGCAATAAGACCAGGTACTTTGAAATTTGCCAGAGTCCAGCTCCTGCTGAGTCTGGGGCCTGAAGGGGTGAAGGTAACTGCAACTGTGTCGGTAGAAATGACTATACCAGAAACCACAATTGCAGTTCTAGTAGAGGCTGTTGACTGACCCGCTTGGGGGAGGTCAACCCAAATATCTTCTTGCTTTTTCTACTTCTCTCTCTACTTTTCTTCTGAAAGCAGCCTTCTCCAACCTTTGTTTATAATTA